GAAAAAAATTGAAGTCAGTCTAAACAGTATTTGTTAAGTTATTGGAAGTTGTAAGAATTTGTAACAGACGCCATCGGTCGGGTGTCGTACCGAAAATCGGGGCAAATGTGTCTACGCCTTTAATAGGAGCCAAGTGGATTAACCTTACAATACTCACCCCGGAATAACCTGACAACGGTAAAGTCAGATACCGTTGTCACAAATGGCGGACATAACCGTCGCTTCAAGTAGATTTTAATGAACTGTATGTTTAAAAGAGCACCTAGACTAAATTCCTTTGGAAAAACAATCAAGTGTCTTAATACTCATTGTACAGTTAATAATGTTCTTCCATCGAAATAAAGTCTTTAATTTAACCGATCAAAATGAGATACGGGATAACGGACACTGTAATTACCATATGCTATTGTCGCATATATTGATGCGATTCACGACCCAATTTGATCGAAAATGGGATTTCATATGATACATTATCACAAGAGCTTGATGCATGCACTGAATTAGCGACGATAAAATCCCATAAAATGAGGACCAAGTGATTAAACAGTTGAAGCGAGTCAGGCTATTCCGGTGTGTATATGACTGGCTCGTATGACTGACCCACTGCTGAGTTATGTAATAGACTACTATAAACGATATGATATATTTTGTTATAAAAAACGTTAAGTTCGGATTCAAAATCAGATCATTTATCCCCATAAGTCATATTATCCTGAAGAACGCAATTTTGTAAACTTCAAATTTCTCAATACTGCTGATTTTGTTCATTACGATATAAAATGAACGAAAATAGAAACGTGCACACCCCTCCTCTTTATTGTTATTGCTGTATCATGCACTGATTTATAGAGAGAACATGATTTAGAATGCAATCTATTAGACCTCTCACTGGCGGATCTGGGGGGAGGGGCCGGAAGTTTTTTTCTCAGACTTGAAATTTGCCCCCCCCCCCCCCTTGTTGGTTCCCAGATCCGCTCCTGGGAGGGAAACTTCATCTGATAATAAAATGTAATTATTTAGTATCTTTATTTTGTAACAAACATGTTAAACCAGAGCATGTTTTAATGAGCTCGAGCCAGAGGGACAATTTCCTCGTCGATGTGTTTTACCCAGCTTCATATTGTTCGCAATAACACATAATCGCTGTATGATACAAATGGTATTTTGATTTTGTAAGGTTTGTGTTAAACAGGTATATTGTTTCATATTTTACTTTTGCACGAGAAATACGTAATACAAAAAACAAAAAGCAACTTATTTTTTGTAACTTCTTGTCCTTAGGTACATAATTACTTTTTCACTTTTCCCAAAGAACTACCATTCAATTCATCTTTAGATACAGTCACACGTGTTGACCTAAAGTACTGGTATGTGCCATTATTCAAAGCATCATTTTGTTTTTCACATAGAAGTAAGTATTGAACAATGGTGTCTTCACTTTTGCTAATGATTTTCCGCGTCGACATGGCCAATAGCATTGGTTTAGATATTGCTAGATAAAGAAAAAAATCGAGGGAGTATACTAAAAAGATTTTGGTAAAAATATAATTTCATCATTTTTTCACTTTACCTGCAGTATGGACGAAATGTCAGTCACGGGATGACGAAAAAGACAAACCGCCGACCACCGACCAGTTACTCTCCTATGAGGTGGGAGAGGTCAATGCTTGGCCGGTGGTTGGTTTTTTACACAACCACGCTTTTAAACCACCATGGTTTAAAAATAGTGATAGAAAATCGACTACCACTCATTTATTTATTGTCAGAAGTGTATAATTCAACAATTAAATGGTGTCAACTGTCATATTTTTGATTACTTAAACAATAAGCACTGAACGACAATAATCACATAGGCCTATTACCATACTTAAATACGTTGTTTAAAGCAATTTTAATCCATCTCCCGTCAATTTGTTTTCTTTAAATTGAAAAGTCCTCGAAATGAATGCCAAACTTCATTCAATTGGATACAGGGGGAGGGGGTCAAAACCTGATTTCATTAGGTGACGGACATCGATTATGGTTTTCCCGGGAATTTCAATTTTCAACATTTTTGGTTTCGTTTCAAGGGGGAGGGGGGGGGGGAGTTGACGGACATCGATATTTTGACCAGACACCTTAGAAACTTTCAGCAACTGTACCTTATGGTACCCATAGAAATTCAATAAATACTAATATGTTTTATCAAAGCTTTAGAATATTAATATCAAATATATTACAATACAATATTTTGACAGTTTACCAGTACATGTCATCTTCGCACGTATTGGGGAGGTAGAATTAAAGAATTCTTATGAACGAGTCATGCAAGATACTAGAACCAATAAAGTAATTTATGGGATAAGTTAATTTCTGATGGATCTAGATAAAATATGTTTCAAAACTTTGTGAACACTAGATAACTACATTAAGGAAGATATAGTATAATCTTGATATATTTGGCTATCATGCGTTTAAAATACGTTCCTAAAACTATGAACTTGTACGTTAGGTGAGAAATATTGCTGTTGTACGTTCGAAAAGTATTTGATTGTATTTTGTAGTTCTCAAGTTACCCATGAACTTTCGTAGGCTAAACATTTAACAAATAACGTCTTGACAGCATATTTAGCCTAATTTTGCAATGATGTCAACGTGATTCCAATGTTATGTTGTCGTGATTCCCAGAGGTTGCGACAAGATTCGTTTTAAGAAATTGTATTTTTAGATAAGATCCCCTCGGACAACTGGGTTTCGGACAACTGGGTTGACGATATTACTTCACAGTGTATCAGCTTTTTTTCTACAATTCAGATTTTCCTGAAAAAAATCCCGGTAAAAGATATACTGACGTATTACAAAATATGTGAAAATTGGAAAGATTAACCGTTTAGTTCAAGCCTTCACAGACAAGATATTAGGACGAAAAATCCAAAATGGCCGCCTTAACATTTACCAAGAATGCCGAAAAACTGATCACTTCTAAACTTTTATAGGTAGAAACATTCCTGAGAATTTCAAATGAATCCCTCAAACGATTTGGCTGGAAACCTGTAGACAAGCCTTGACAGACAAGATTTTAGGACGGAAAATCCAAAATGGCCGCCTTAACATTTACCAAGAATGCCGAAAACTAATCAGTTCTAAACTTCCATAGGTAGAAACAACCCTGAGAATTTCAAATGAATCCTTCAAACGGTTTTGCTGGAAACCTGTAGACAAGCCTTGAAAGACAATTAGATTTTAGGACGGAAAATCCAAAATGGCCGCCTTAACATTTACCCAGAATGCCGAAAATTAATCAGTTCTAAACTTTTATAGATAGAAACATCCCTGAGAATTTCAAATGAATCCCTCAAACGGTTTGGCTGTAAACCTGTAGACAAGCCTTGACAGACAAGATTTTAGGACGGAAAATCCAAAATGGCCGCCTTAACATTTACCCAGAATGCCGAAAACTAATCAGTTCTAAACTTTCATAGGTAGAAACATCCCTGAGAATTTCAAATGAATCCCTCAAATGGTTTGGCTGGAAACCTGTAGACAAGCCTTGACAGACAAGATTTTAGGACGGAAAATCCAAAATTGCCGCCTTAACATTTACCCAGAATGCCGAAAAACTAATCAGTTCTAAACTTTCATAGGTAGAAACATCCCTGAGAATTTCAAAAGAATCCCTCAAACGGTTTGGCTGGAAACCTGTAGACAAGCCTTGACAGACAAGATTTTAAGACGGAAAATCCAAAATGGCCACTAAACACTTACCCAGAATGCCGAAAAACTAATCAGTTCTAAACTTTCATAGGTAGAAACATCCCTGAGAATTTCAAAAGAATCCCTCGAACGGTTTGACTGGA